ACTCAAATACCTGTACTTTCTACTTCTTACATGTTGAACACAAATACCTGTACTTTCTACTTCTTACATGTTGAACCCAAATACCTGTACTTTCTACTTCTCACATGTTGAACTCAAATACCTGAACTTTCTACTTCTCACATGTTGAACTCAAATACCTGTACTTTCTACTTCTTACATGTTGAACTCAAATACCTGTACTTTCTACTTCTTACATGTTGAACCCAAATACCTGTACTTTCTACTTCTTACATGTTGAACTCAAATACCTGTACTTTCTACTTCTTACATGTTGAACACAAATACCTGTACTTTCTACTTCTTACATGTTGAACCCAAATACCTGTACTTTCTACTTCTCTCATGTTGAACCCAAATACCTGTACTTTCTACTTCTTACATGTTGAACACAAATATCTGTACTTTCTACTTCTTACATGTTGAACTCAAATACCTGTACTTTCTACTTCTTACATGTTGAACACAAATACCTGTACTTTCTACTTCTACATGTTGAACACAAAATACCTGTACTTTCTAACTTCTTTACATGTTGAACCCAAATACCTGTACTTTCTACTTCTCTCATGTTGAACCCAAATACCTGTACTTTCTACTTCTTACATGTTGAACACAAATACCTGTACTTTCTACTTCTTACATGTTGAACTCAAATACCTGTACTTTCTACTTCTTACATGTTGAACACAAATACCTGTACTTTCTACTTCTTACATGTGAACCCAAATACCTGTACTTTCTACTTCTTACATGTTGAACCCAAATACCTGTACTTTCTACTTCTTACATGTTGAACACAAATACCTGTACTTTCTACTTCTTACATGTTAAACTCAAATACCTGTACTTTCTACTTCTTACATGTTGAACACAAATACCTGTACTTTCTACTTCTTACATGTTGAACCCAAATACCTGTACTTTCTACTTCTTACATGTTGAACACAAATACCTGTACTTTCTACTTCTTACATGTTGAACCCAAATACCTGTACTTTCTACTTCTCTCATGTTGAACTCAAATACCTGTACTTTCTACTTCTCTCATGTTGAACCCAAATACCTGTACTTTCTACTTCTTACATGTTGAACTCAAATACCTGTACTTTCTACTTCTCTCATGTTGAACTCAAATACCTGTACTTTCTACTTCTTACTTGTTGAACTCAAATACTTGTACTTTCTACTTCTCTCATGTTGAACCCAAATACCTGTACTTTCTACTTCTTACTTGTTGAACTCAAATACTTGTACTTTCTACTTCTCTCATGTTGAACCCAAATACCTGTACTTTCTACTTCTTACTTGTTGAACTCAAATACCTGTACTTTCTACTTCTTACATGTTGAACTCAAATACCTGTACTTTCTACTTCTCACATGTTAAACTCAAATACCTGTACTTTCTACTTCTTACATGTTGAACCCAAATACCTGTACTTTCTACTTCTTACATGTTGAACTCAAATACCTGTACTTTCTACTTCTTACATGTTGAACTCAAATACCTGTACTTTCTACTTCTTACACGTTGAACTCAAATACCTGTACTTTCTACTTCTTACATGTTGAACTCAAATACCTGTACTTTCTACTTCTAACATGTTGAACTCAAATACCTGTACTTTCTACTTCTCACATGTTGAACTCAAATCCTGTACTTTTCTACTTCTTACATGTTGAACTCAAATACCTGTACTTTTCTACTTCTTACATGTTGAACTCAAATACTTGTACTTTCTACTTCTCATCATTTCCCAACAGCTGGTTCCGTTTAGTCTGAATGTGTGTTTGATGCGTGATCATTATTCGTGTTTTAGAGTCATTGCGTGCCTATTGATTTGAACACGATCCGTGTATCCATCATTTCCTGGTCTTCTCTAAAGAAGAGGGGACCAATGGAAACCGTTGTCATGTTGCCGTTGTTCAAGCCATGGAAGACATTCATTAGCTAACAATGAAATTATTGTTCTATTAATATAAGGGAGGGTCAGGTACTCTTTAAAAACATCGCTAGCTATGGGTACTTTTTACTGAAGTACATTTCAAAGCCTCTTTACTTTTACTGAGGTAAAGAAGTTTAGTCAGTACTTCTACTTTTACAGGAGTATCTGTACTTCTACTTGAGTAAAGGGTGTGTGTACTTTTTCCACCAAACACAAACATTCCCCAAATCTGAGGTCTTTTTCTAAGCTGCTAAATCCTCTGTTTCTCTCTAACGCTGCTTCTGCTGTTGTTATGGTTCATGGTGTGATTTCCTCTTCAGTTCTCGCTCTCCAGGAGAACAATCCGGCATCATTCCCAAAACACATTCCTAACCCACTAGCTCCGATCCCTCACGAAAACACATTTTAGCGTCAAGGTTTATCCTCTGATTCAGCCCCGGGCCTCGTTTTAGTAGAGGAGACACTCATCCATCTTTATTATTTGCCAGCTCTGCCTCACTCTCGCTGCTGTGTGACTGACATTATGTTGTAGTCCATTTATGCTACAACCTCGATCAAACAGAAGTTTTAGCCAACTATAGAGATACTTCTAATCTTCCATTCCTCTCAAAAATCCTTGAGAAAGCAGTCGCCAAACAGCTGTGTGATTACTTATAAAAAACAATGATTTATTGGAGGATTCTCAGTCTGGCTTTAGAACACAACATAGCAGAGACAGCTCTTGTTAAAGTCACAAATGACCTTCTAATAGCTTCAGACAAAGTCTCTATTCTTGTCTTCTCAGTGCTGCATTTGATACTATCGACCACCCTATTGCAAAGACTAGAGCACTTAGTTGGCATAAAGGGAACTGCTTGAGGCTGGTTGGTCTATCTGAACGCTCTGTTTGTGTGTGTCAGCAATGAGTCTTCCTTGCAAACTAAAGTTATCCATGGAATGCTTGTAGGGACCAAAACTCCCTGAGTTATGCGCTGAGAGAATAAAAGTTGCTTGAAAAACAAACAATTTACAACTCCAGAGCACACGATCAACAGGAAGTATCAGAGCAGTTCATTACATTACATTTAGCTGCAGCTTTTATCCAAAGCGACTTACAATAAGTGCGTTCGACCAACAAAATACAACCTTGAAGAAAACAGAATCATAAAGAACATCAGGTTTCATAGAGCCAAACATTTCAAGTGCTACTCAACTGGCTTTAGATAAGCCAGCCCTTTATTAGTATATAAGTGCTTTGTTAATAGTTCTATCGCTGGAAGTGGAGTCGAAAGAGATGAGTTTTCAGTCTGGAAGATGTGCAAGCTATCTGCTGTCCTGATGTCAATGGGGAGCTCATTCCACCATCTTGGAGCCAGGATAGCAAACCCACGTGTTTTTGCTGATGAGAACTTGGGTCCCCCTCGCAGCGAGGGCGCAGCGAGTCGTTTGGCTGATGCAGAGCGGAGTGCACGTGCTGGGGTGTACGGTTTAACCATGTCCTGGATGTAGGAAGGGCCAGATCCATTCGCAGCATGGTACGCAAGTACCAGTGTCTTGAAGTGGATTCTAGCAGTTACCGGAAGCCAGTGGAGGGAGCGGAGGAGCGGAGTGGTGTGGGAACATTTAGGAAGGTTGAAGACCAGACGAGCCGCTGCATTCTGGATGAGCTGCAGAGGTCGGATGGCACATGCAGGTAGACCAGCCAGGAGGGAGTTGCAGTAGTCTAGGCGTGAGATGACGAGAGCCTGGACCAGAACCTGAGTCGCTTTCTGGGTCAGCTGGGGACGTATCTTCCTGATGTTGTAAAGCGTGTATCTGCAGCAACGGGTTGTAGCAGCGATGTTTGCAGTGAAGGACAGGTTGTTATCTAGGGTCACACCCAGATTCCTTGCAGTCTGAGTCGGGGAAACAACTGAGGTGCCGATGTTGATTGTTAGGTCAAGAGTGGGACAATCTTTTCCCGGGAGGAAGAGCAGCTCAGTCTTGTCAAGGTTGAGCTTGAGGTGATGAGCAGACATCCACTGAGAGATGTCAGCTAGACAAGCAGAGATGCGTGCGACGACCTGGGTCTCTGAGCGGGGAAAGGACAGAATTCATTGGGTGTCGTCAGCGTAGCAGTGGTAAGAAAAACCATGCGGGCTAATGACTGATCCGAGTGAGTTTGTGTACAAGGAGAAGAGGAGGGGACCAATTCACCCTCTCCTCTACGTCATGTCCCAAAACCGGCATCCAACAGGTGACCTAAATACCAACTACACCCACGTGACAATGCTGGAAGTGATAAACAATAAGAATTAAACGTGATGCAAACAGAAATGAAGATAATAATCTCCTACAGTGCTGAAATGCATCATGTGACTTCTTCCTCCTCCTGCAGGTATCTCCTCCATCTTGTTTGAGACCCGGATGGGATGCCTTCAGCAGGAGATCCCCCCCGACACGCTGCGCTTCATCGCGGCGGCTAACGACATGCTAACGCTGTCTGAAACGGTGGTTATTTTCCCCCGATGGAGCCGCGGCGTCCTGCCCTTCTGGGGGCGCTTCGTTCAGGCCTGGGACGACCTCTATGACGTAGGTATGCAGCACCAGAGGCTTCCTCCACATCAGAACACTTCTGGATTCACTGTGGGATGAGGGTGGGACACCGTGTCTCTCTTATTGCTTGTTTGCAGAATTTGTGCAGATATTTCCCAATTTTTTTTGTGATGTTTTTAGTGATTTTTCAAGTATTTTTTTGTAATATTTTGCAGATATTTGGGTGATTTTTTAACAGATTTTTTGGTGATTTTTTGCAGATATTTTGGTGATTTTTTAACAGATATTTTGGTGATTTTTTAACAGATATTTTGGTGATTTTTTAACAGATATTTTGGTGATTTTTTAACAGATATTTTGGTGATTTTTTAACAGATATTTTGGTGATTTTTTAACAGATATTTTGGTGATTTTTTTTGCAGATTTTTGGGTGATTTTTTGGTGATTTTTTGCAATCTTTTTTACGGTAATTTGCTAATTGTTTGTAGATTTTTTGAAAAAAGTTAGCAGAATTTTTCCAGCCTGGTTGCTGGTTGATCTGGCAGAAAAGAGGATAACACATTTAAGTTAATTCACACAAAATGCAGTTATCTTCAAACATAATCAAGCATATAACAATAACTTTACAAATGCTATTTCAACTCTCAGCATATAAATATATAAACTACGTAAGCTGTTATTAATTGATGGTTTCTCCGTGCAGCTCGGACCCTCATCGACAGGAGGATCTGTGAGATCGAGGCTCAGGTGAGCAGCGGAGAGCCGGTGGAGGGCTTGTACCTGACGTACCTGCTGACCTCAGACCAGCTGAGCAGGAGCGAGGTTTACACCTGCATCACGGAGCTGCTGCTGGGGGGGGTCGACACGGTGAGCAGTGCATGCTGGGAGTTTCTGCCTACAGGTTTCTGTGATATCTTGGTGTTTTGTTGCAGATGTTTTGGTGATTTTTGTAGATATTTTTGCTGGTTTTTTTGCCCAAATCTATGCTGCAAGTATTTAAAACATCATACACACAGAAAACAACCCCTTTATAAGAAACAACAAGCACTCAATTAGTCTAAAAGATAAGATACAAATGAAAGTAATTCAAAATAATGTATTGCATACTTTCTTTGGAATTAGAGTTGTCCTAAAATTACCTACAAAACATTGACTTTGAACCATGTCTGCAGAAAGTCAAGATAAATATTTAAAATACACATAATTTATCGTCATTGGCACAGCAGTTCTAGGGTTGGCAATAAAAGAGGTTTCTCCAACAATACAATATACTTAAGGCAATAAAGACATTAGAAATAATTAGCAAGTGACACATTGGTGCATGCGAGAAATAAGACAGAAAGTCAAATGAAAGACTGCACAGGAACCCTTTAACTGCAGAGATGCTGTAGTGTTGAACCCCCTGCTCCTCGCAGTGAGACTCGTTCAGGAAACCTGCAACAACAACGCCGAGTTCAGGTTGTGTTTCTTCATGTTGAGCAGCTACAGAGCCGTCGGCCTGCATTCCTGACGAGGCGAGGCTGTGGGAGTAGAGATCACCATGTGTACAACGTCTTAACACTGTGCCAACAATATGGAGAAAGTAAGGAAGGATCCTGCTTCTCTGCTGAGCTGATTGCCAATCAAAAGAATCTCTTGCTTCAGGGTTCGGATGAGTTATCATGACATTACTCATGCATGCGCTCTGAAGATGATTCAGGTAAACCCTCTCTGGCAGCAGTGTGTGATGGCAAGAGTACACACATCCTGTACTCAGGTAGAAGTACACATACTCGTGTTTAAAAATACTCTGGTGAAAGTAGAAGTACTGACTAAACTTCTTTACTCAAGTGAAAGTAAAGAACTTTGAAATGTACTTCAGTAAAAAGTACCCATAACTAGCAGCTGCTTTAAAGAGTACCTGACCTCCCTTTATATTAATAGAACAATAATGTCATTGTTAGCTAATGAATGTTTCCATGCTGAACAACGGCAACATGACAACGTTTCCATTGGTCCCTCTTCTTTAGAGAAGACCAGGAAATGATGGATACACGGATCGTGTTCAAATCAATAGGCACGCAATGACTCTAAAGAATAATGATCACGCATCAAACACACATTCAGACTAAAGGAACCAGCTGTTTGGAAAATGAGAGAAGTAGAAAGTACAAGTATTTGTGTTCAACATGTAAGAAGTAGAAAGTACAGGTATTTGTGTTCAACATGTAAGAAGTAGAAAGTACAGGTATTTGAGTTCAACATGTAGAAGTAGAAAGTACAAGTATTTGAGTTCAACATGTAGAAGTAGAAAGTACAGGTATTTGTGTTCAACATGTAAGAAGTAGAAAGTACAGGTATTTGAGTTCAACATGTGAGAAGTAGAAAGTACAGGTATTTGAGTTCAACATGTGAGAAGTAGAAAGTACAGGTATTTGGGTTCAACATGTAAGAAGTAGAAAGTACAAGTATTTTTGTTCAACATGTGAGAAGTAGAAAGTACAGGTATTTGTGTTCAACATGTGAGAAGTAGAAAGTACAGGTATTTGAGTTCAACATGTAAGAAGTAGAAAGTACAGGTATTTGAGTTCAACATGTAAGAAGTAGAAAGTACAGGTATTTGGGTTCAACATGTGAGAAGTAGAAAGTACAGGTATTTGAGTTCAACATGTGAGAAGTAGAAAGTACAGGTATTTGAGTTCAACATGTAAGAAGTAGAAAGTACAGGTATTTGAGTTCAACATGTAAGAAGTAGAAAGTACAGGTATTTGAGTTCAACATGTAAGAAGTAGAAAGTACAAGTATTTGAGTTCAACATGTAGAAGTAGAAAGTACAGGTATTTGAGTTCAACATGTAAGAAGTAGAAAGTACAAGTATTTGAGTTCAACATGTGAGAAGTAGAAAGTACAGGTATTTGAGTTCAACATGTAAGAAGTAGAAAGTACAGGTATTTGAGTTCAACATGTAGAAGTAGAAAGTACAGGTATTTGAGTTCAACATGTAAGAAGTAGAAAGTACAGGTATTTGAGTTCAACATGTGAGAAGTAGAAAGTACAGGTATTTGAGTTCAACATGTAAGAAGTAGAAAGTACAGGTATTTGAGTTCAATATGTAAGAAGTAGAAAGTACAGGTATTTGAGTTCAATATGTAAGAAGTAGAAAGTACAGGTATTTGAGTTCAACATGTAAGAAGTAGAAAGTACAGGTATTTGAGTTCAACATGTAAGAAGTAGAAAGTACAGGTATTTGTGTTCAACATGTAAGAAGTAGAAAGTACAGGTATTTGAGTTCAACATGTAAGAAGTAGAAAGTACAGGTATTTGAGTTCAACATGTGAGAAGTAGAAAGTACAGGTATTTGTGTTCAACATGTAAGAAGTAGAAAGTACAGGTATTTGTGTTCAACATGTGAGAAGTAGAAAGTACAGGTATTTGTGTTCAACATGTAAGAAGTAGAAAGTACAGGTATTTGTGTTCAACATGTAAGAAGTAGAAAGTACAGGTATTTGAGTTCAACATGTAAGAAGTAGAAAGTACAGGTATTTGAGTTCAACATGTAAGAAGTAGAAAGTACAGGTATTTGAGTTCAACATGTGAGAAGTAGAAAGTACAGGTATTTGAGTTCAACATGTGAGAAGTAGAAAGTACAGGTATTTGAGTTCAACATGTAAGAAGTAGAAAGTACAGGTATTTGAGTTCAACATGTGAGAAGTAGAAAGTACAGGTATTTGAGTTCAACATGTGAGAAGTAGAAAGTACAGGTATTTGGGTTCAACATGTGAGAAGTAGAAAGTACAGGTATTTGAGTTCAACATGTGAGAAGTAGAAAGTACAGGTATTTGGGTTCAACATGTGAGAAGTAGAAAGTACAGGTATTTGAGTTCAACATGTGAGAAGTAGAAAGTACAGGTATTTGAGTTCAACATGTAAGAAGTAGAAAGTAGAGGTATTTGAGTTCAACATGTAAGAAGTAGAAAGTACAGGTATTTGGGTTCAACATGTGAGAAGTAGAAAGTACAGGTATTTGAGTTCAACATGTAAGAAGTAGAAAGTAGAGGTATTTGAGTTCAACATGTAAGAAGTAGAAAGTACAGGTATTTGAGTTCAACATGTAAGAAGTAGAAAGTACAGGTATTTGAGTTCAACATGTAAGAAGTAGAAAGTACAGGTATTTGAGTTCAACATGTAAGAAGTAGAAAGTACAGGTATTTGGGTTCAACATGTAAGAAGTAGAAAGTACAGGTATTTGTGTTCAAAGTGTACGAAGTAGAAAGTACAGGTATTTGTGTTCAACGTGTAAGAAGTAGAAAGTACAGGTATTTGAGTTCAACATGTAAGAAGTAGAAAGTACAGGTATTTGAGTTCAACATGTAAGAAGTAGAAAGTACAGGTATTTGTGTTCAACATGTGAGAAGTAGAAAGTACAGGTATTTGTGTTCAACATGTGAGAAGTAGAAATTACAGGTATTTGTGTTCAACATGTGAGAAGTAGAAAGTACAGGTATTTGAGTTCAACATGTGAGAAGTAGAAATTACAGGTATTTGTGTTCAACATGTGAGAAGTAGAAAGTACAGGTATTTGTGTTCAACATGTAAGAAGTAGAAAGTACAGGTATTTGTGTTCAACATGTAAGAAGTCAAAGTAAAAAGTTGGGGAGTAAAGTACTGATACCAGAAAAATGTGCAGTAACGAAGTATTGGTACTCCACTACTTCCCTCCTCTTCCTCAGACCTCCAACACTTTGTCGTGGACTCTGTACCACCTGGCGAGGGACGGGGGGGCTCAGGAGCGTCTCCACAGAGAGGTGGTCTCCGTGTGTCCGGACCTCCAGGAGCCAAACTCTGACGACCTGAGCCGGATGCCCTTCCTGAAGGCCGTCATCAAGGAGACGCTGCGGTGAGAGTCAGAACATCCTCAGGGAACGCTTTGTGAGGCAACAGACCCTAAGGCAGACCCTAAGGCATATGTACGCCTACTGTTTGTGGATTTCAGCTCGGCTTTTAACACACTGCAGCCTCACATCTTGCTTCAAAAACTGATAAAGATCAATATAAATCCTTTCATCTTGAAATGGTATTTTTCGTTTTTAACCAATCGCACTCAGCAAGTCAGGGTCAACAATGCCCTCTCAGAGCCCCGGACCATCAGTACAGGAGCCCCCCAGGGTTGTGTGAGCTCCCCGGTCCTCTTCACACTGTACACAAACGACTGTACAAGAGCCCACCCGGAGAATTATATCATCAAATTCTCTGATGATACAGCTATCCTTGGCTTAATGCACAAGGGCAGCAGTTCATCGGCTTATCACTCTGAAATAGAGAGATTTGTGCAGTGGTGTGATTCTAGCCATCTAGTGCTGAATGTGAAGAAGACTGAGGAGATGGTGTGGGACCCAAAGGCAGTGGGTGACCTTAGCCCGGTGGTTATCCACAATGAACCCATAACTCAGGTCAGCTCCTATAAGTACCTTGGTGTCCATCTAGATAATACACTCAGCTGGAAGGCGCATGTTCAAGGTCTGTGCTCTAGACTTCAACAGCGATTGTACTTTCTGCGTCGACTCCGGGCTTTCGGAGTCGACCAGAAGTTCATGTTACTGTTTTATCATGCAGTGTTGGAGAGCATCATTAGGTATGGTATCACTGCCTGGTACGGTAACTTGACAGTGCAGTCAAAGTCACAGATCGCTCGCCTGGTACAGACGGCTATGAAAATTATGGGGGTTAAAAAACACCAATCTCTCCAAAACATATATGAGCAGTCCATTATCAGACAGGCAAACAAAATAGTGTCTGATCCCACCCACATACTCCACCCAGAATTCCAGCTCCTACCTTCTGGTAGAAGATTCAGGGTTCCCAAGAGCAGGCTGAACCGCTATAAGCACTCATTCCTACCAATGTCCGTTAAACTTCTTAACATTGACAGGAAATGAAATGTAGTCGAAGTCAAATGTAATGAAATGTACTTTTTTTAAATGTTGGCCATGAGGGTTGTGCAATAGGTCGCCATTGTCAGTATGTGCGTCTGCGTGTATTGTGTTTGTTCAAACGGTGTATGATTGATCATATGTGTATGTCTCTTAAATGTCCACTATGTTTGTATATTATGTCCATGTATGCGGAACTGCTGGACGGAGCCCAGAACGAATTTCCTTACGGGGACAATAAAGTATATCGTATCGTATCGTATCAGTACAAAACAATGAGGTGGTGATTCATGTGTTCCCTGAACCAGGTGGAGTTAGAACAAACTGTACTCAAACCTGCTGTTATGGAAAACTTCTTTGCAGCAATGTTGAGCCAATCATGAAATGAGGGAAACTGGATTTGCCTTAGTCAATACACTGATATTTATTGAGAGACAAAACGGCCGGAGGATTAACAAAGCAACTCGCACTGTTTAATGCAAGCTGCCAAATTAACTCTGCCCACACAAAGACGGAACCGCTCGAACCTGGTCTCTGAGAAGGGGCGGAGCCTAGAAACACGGGCCTTTACCCCAATCGATTCCAGATGAACAAACAAAGATGCTCTGTCTGTAAAGGCATCGAGCAGTAAACCCTTCCCCCACACAGGAAAAGAATAGTCACTCATGTGAAGTTTCTCAGGACAGCTAAGCACACAAAGAAATCAGACTAAAATATTCCTTTACACCTGCCATCTTTATTATGCAAATGATATTCTTCTGCCTCTCTCCTCCAGCCTCTATCCCGTGGTTCCTGGAAACGGACGCTTCGTTTCGGAGGACGAGGTGGTCGTGGGAAACTACTGGTTCCCGAAGAAGGTGCTAATGTCCAGGATGTGACGCTGCTTCAAGTTCTCCGTTAACTTTAGCTATTGGAAAGAACATTCTATTCTATTTAACTATTTCATTTTTCCAGACGCAGTTCCACCTGTGCCACTACTCGCTCTGTCACGATGAAGATCAGTTTGAAGACGCGGAGCTGTTCAAGCCGGAGCGATGGCTGCGAGGCGATTCCTCTCGAAGCAAGTCGACGACCGGATCCTACAATCACCATCCGTACAGCTTCATCCCGTTCGGGGTGGGGGTGCGAGGCTGCGTCGGGAAGAGGGTGGCGGAGATGGAGATGTACTTCGCCCTGTCCAGGGTGAGAGACACCGACAGGAAGTTAAAACATCTCTCCAGTTCATGCTAGTAAGAGAGAGAGAGAGGGAACGTGTGATCTGCTGCTCCTTGCCAGCACACTTCTTAGTCAAAGTGACATAACTCTTCCCACAGGATTCAACCACATATCCTCGAACCTTTTGAGGCTTTGAGCTCCAGGTCTCTGGCAGGAGAAACATTTATCTACCTGCAGTTGTTATAATAATAATAGATTTAATTTGTTAGCGCTTTTACAGGTGCTCAAAGACGCTTTACAGATAGAGTGAAGATATATATAATGTTACGCCCAGGCCTAGGGAAACCTAGGCGCAACACAAAGTGTGCACTCTCTCCTCTTTTCCCACTCCCAAGAACATAGACAATGAGACAGTGAATGCCGTTTGGTCAATTTAATTACCAAGAGGTTTTCTTTTTAACAAAACAAACAAATCTCTGAACACAAAAATCTTGCCTAACAAATAAGAAAATAAACATACAGGACTCTTTCCTACACTGACGTAAAACAGGAGAAAACGAGAACCAACCAAAAGGAATTCACACTTCCACGTAGACTTACGGCATGTCCAACAAGGACAGGTTAAAGTTATGTCCTTTCAAGGTTTACAAAATATTCAAGGACAGAAGTACAAAAGAACAGATACAAATATGCAACAGTTGGGAGCAGGAGAAGCTGAGTCAGAGAGAGGGCAGAGTGACGGCATGGCTGCAGCTTAAATGCTCCCCTCTTCTTCAGGTGGACCAATCAGCCTGTTGAAGGTAGCTAATCAGCTAACGGGCACCACCTGCTTGCTCACACACACACACACACACACACACACACACACACACACACACACACACACACACACACACACACACACACACACACAGGAGGAGGGAAAAATCTCTACACACAATACACATAACGACCAAGGTCGTAACAATAGTTATAATATATAGTTATAATGATGTTAAACAGATGTTAGCATCCACGTTGAGAGAGGAGCTGAAGAACCCCGTTGAGGCTCACACGTATCATCTCCGAGGGTCTGCACATTTCTAAGTAGAATTTACCCTGTATGGCATATGATACATTTGAGCAGAAGAAGTTCATTTTGATGCTCGTACTTTTGCGCTTTTACTCAAGTGTCGTCATGAATGCAGGACTACCTTGTTGTCAGAGTGTGATATTAACACTGTGGTGGTCTTCCAGCTGATGCAGAAGTTCGAGGTGCAGCCTGAGCCCGGTGCACCCGTGGTGGAGCCCAAAACTCGAACCCTGCTCATCCCCGGGAAGCCCATCAACCTGCGCTTCCTGCCGCGAGCCTGAGGGATTCTGCAGAAACTATTCAAAGTGTGCAACACAAGTCCAACTACATCTCTGTCTTCGCTCTTTGAATGCAGCATCGTGCACAGGACGAAATGCACACACGTCTGCACATAACTTTACTAAAATAAGTCACTGAATGACAGCATAGAACAGGGCATTTCTGGTAATCATTTATCCATATCTGCTTTGACTGGAAGAGATGCAGCACACTTCAATACAGGAGTTAATTAATCAAAAGACAGTCCTGATATTCTCAGGGCATAGCATAGCATCACTGTGAGACTAATCTGACATCAAATACAATGTTTTTTAACGTCAATAAAGGTAGGAGGCAACTAAGACATGGAAGGAGAAGAGGGAAGTAAACAAGGAGGCGATGAAGGAAAGGAAGAATGAGAAAGGAGGTAGTGTTGTACCAATCCTGGAAGATTCTTAATACCGTTGTTATCGTGTAGATATCTGCTTTAAATGCTTTTCCACAAATAAAAATGTACATATTGTCAATGCATTGTTGCCTCATCTCTCTGGATGTTGCGATTAGAGCAGTGATTCTCAAATGGGGGTACCCTAACCTAAACCCCTAGGGGTACGTTGGGGATGTTTTATTATTACAATTGTTTTTCAGTTAAAATGTGGTTTAATAAATAAGACACTGATGGCGTATAACTGTGCCAATGTTTTGACTCTAAATTGGGTACCACTTTACAATAAGACTACCCTAAGGGTTTATAATTAGGTTATGATTTAGGTTGTGAACACTTTATTAATCGTTAAGAACCATTTATAAACCAGTTCTAACATAGCTTTCATACATCAACACAGGCTCACTATTTGGCAAGATGACTAAGCCTTATATTGGCTACTGAGCGAGAATCAACTCAGTGAGCAACAGATACCAAGGATGCTGGCTGATGAAGAAGACGAAGTAAGCTAGGTAGCCAATATAAGGCTTAGCAGTACAGATACATGTGGGCTCACTATGTGGCAAGCAACCGGTCACAGTTGCCCTGTTCATCTCATGTCTTATAAAAGCTTATTAAGGATTTATAAAGTGTTCACAACCTAATTAATAACTGAATTACAAACTATTCGTAAACCCTTTATAAGGGTAGTCTTATTGTAAAGTGGTACCCTAAACGCTATGTTCAATTTTCAAATGCAGTGTGGTCACTACATTATTAGAGACTAATTAAATGCTGTGTTCTTGTATATGGCATGCATGGGGTTTCGGATGTATAGTTGCACATCAGGAACCACAGTGGATGTTATTATAATATTTGTGTATTGTATTTTATAGTTTTTGCATAATTGTTACGGCCCGGCTCTGGGGCTATGACATAATCCGGAGAGTCGAGACGAGGTGCGACAATATAACAATCATTTATTGATGTTTAAACAAATAAATGAACGAAGCCAGCAGCAGGTCCCCGAGGCTGGCACGGAGAGAGGGCCAGAGGAATGACAGCGAGAGCACGAATCCGGTTGGGCTCTCAGGCAGCTCATCAGGCAGGTGGAGCTCATCAGGCAGGTGGAGCTCATCAGGCAGGTGCAGCTCATCAGGCAGGTGCAGTTCATCAGGCAGGTGCAGCTCATCAGGCAGGTGGAGCTCATCAGGCAGGTGCAGCTCATCAGGCAGGTGCAGCTCATCAGGCAGGTGGAGCTCATCAGGCAGGTGGAGCTCATCAGGCAGGTGCAGCTCATCAGGCAGGTGGAGCTCATCAGGCAGGTGCAGCTCATCAGGCAGGTGCAGCTCATCAGGCAGGTGGAGCTCATCAGGCAGGTGGAGCTCATCAGGCAGGTGCAGCTCATCAAGCAGGTGGAGCTCATCAGGCAGGTGGAGCTCATCAGGCAGGTGCAGCTCATCAGGCAGGTGCAGCTCATCAGGCAGGTGGAGCTCATCAGGCAGGTGGAGCTCATCAGGCAGGTGCAGCTCATCAGGCAGGTGCAGGTGGAGCTCATCAGGCAGGTGGAGCTCATCAGGCAGGTGCAGCTCATCAGGCAGGTGGAGCTCATCAGGCAGGTGGAGCTCATCAGGCAGGTGCAGCTCATCAGGCAGGTGGAGCTCATCAGGCAGGTGGAGCTCATCAGGCAGGTGGAGCTCATCAGGCAGGTGCAGCTCATCAGGCAGGTGCAGCTCATCAAGCAGGTGGAGCTCATCAGGCAGGTGGAGCTCATCAGGCAGGTGCAGCTCATCAGGCAGGTGCAGCTCATCAGGCAGGTGCAGCTCATCAGGCAACAATCACCCACATGGCTCGCGAACCTGCAATCAGAAGAGAGAGAGAGACAACGGAACGCCAAGGGCTGTGGAGGGGTCGTCACACTCCCACCCATAGAGAAAGGAGTTCCACACCGCCAACCACAGCCTTTTATTACGACCAGCTCCATACCCGAAGAGTTACCCCACAATTTAAAAACGTTTCCTTGTTTTTTCCTTTACCAAATAATTGTAATTCCACACACCAAAACAATACAGCTACAATAGCCTTCAAAAACTCCACACTGACGTCTATAATCCTTCTCAAAACCAGCCAACAAACCTCCCCCTGCCCACTCAGCTATATCATTTTGTTCATTGGTTTGTTAAACATATTACTTCAATTCAAAAACTCCTTGGAAAAATCTGTTTTTAAAAAAGTGTCGTCTTTTTTTTCATGCATAAAGACGAAAATATCCTTAGTTTGTTGTAATTCATGAAGGAGTTAATACATCTCACACTGATGGGACATCACTATATTATTTATAGGCTTTTTCTATCAAAGATGTTCGGGGTCGGTCAGGGGGTCCTTGGCTGAAGGGGTACATGACTGAAACAGTTTAAGAAGCACTGGATTAGACTCTAGCGCTTCTCAAAGGCTCAGAGGCCTGACAGGGGGTTGTCAAGGTAAGACCTCTGCAGCCCCCTGCTGGACTCAGTTTATTACATTTAGGATAAAATAAGTGTAATTAACTTGAGCATTATCACAGCACAACGTGAAACAGAAATGTGTGTCACTTAAATTGTTTTAAACCATCCAAAAGTAAACATTGGAGAGTCCAAATGTAAGCACATAATTGAACACATGGGAAGGATTGACTTGTGATTTGTGAATGCAGTTTGCACACGGTTCTTCTGGAATTTCTCTGGAATTTGTTAGATTTTTTAAATGTGCACTTTAAATACCCTCGCTTCCGGTGTTTTTAATTTTGATCAGTTTGACATCGATGACGTCGAGCCACACGCACTGCAAAAGATTTCACGTGACTTTATTTCTATTTGCAGAAGAGACAGAAATACATGTGAGTTCTTGCTGGGTCTTTTCAATCATGGTCATGCATTGTGTAAAACACAGTTTGATTCCACCACTGTATATTATGCATGTAATAAATACCATTTATTGATTTTAGAGAATAAACTACAAGTATGTTTTCCGCTCTGGGGTAAGGTAAGGTAAGGTAAGGTAGGTAAGGTAGGTAAGGTAGGTGAGGTAAGGTAGGTGAGGTGAGGTAGGTAGGTGAGGTGAGGTAAGGTAGGTGAGGTGAGGTAAGGTAGGTGAGGTGAGGTAAGGTAGGTGAGGTAAGGTAAGGTAGGTGAGGTGAGGTAAGGTAGGTGAGGTAAGGTATGTGAGGTGAGGTAAGGTAGGTGGTGATGGTTGAGGTAAGGTAGGTGAGGTGAGGTAAGGTAGGTGAGGTGAGGTAAGGTAGGTGAGGTGAGGTAGGTAAGGTATAGGTAAGGTAAGTTAGGTAGGGTGAGGTAGGTAAGGTACAGATGGAGCGCTCCATTTCAGACGCCTACCCGTGCGGGTCCGTGATCGGCACGGGGTGGGCCCCTGCTGAAAAGGAAACCCCCCCCCCCCGCAGGACTTGAAACGCCCCCTTGATAAATACATTTAATTATAATGAAACCAGCTGCAATGGATAATGGATCCACCAGGGGGAGGCGTGATTAAAAAGCTGCCACACTGGAACTCATGTGAAATAAACAGCTGATCTACAGGTATCTGATATCGCGGATATTTGTTAAGATCCATATGTCACGGATAGGATCATATTCTGTGCTAAATAAGAGACATGTAATCATTTACTAAACATCCCCATGTTTTTATTTAACAAAATAATGTTTAATTCACATTGGCGTAAGTACAAAACCATCGCTCTGTTTTTAGATCAGGAAATGCATCCAGGCTCAAACAAACGATTTTAAATCATCATCCTCACGATCATTTAATGTATCATATGTTCGCGAGTTGAAATTAATGCACTAAATTTAATCCACGTGAGTTTACAACAACAAAAATAATCGCTTTGTTTTTATATCACATCCGAAAATGCAGCACGGGTCTCACTACCGATCATCCTAATCCCACGGGCAAACAATAATATGTACAGTGTTAATAGTTTACTGTATTATTAGTGTCTAATATTACTGGGGATTTCGGAATGGTAGCCTACTGGATTTTGATTTATTGTATCGGCTTCATATCGCAATATATTCCCGAAGTCTGAAATGAAAAAATGTCCCACATTAGGGCAATTCACCCTACATTTAATCATTCATACAAAATCATATTTCGTTTATTTTTAACGAAATAAATGTGGTTTAATCCACATAATTTACTGTGTTAATTGTTTAGTATTGTTTAACTTGAAGGTGCCTGATGTGAACATTTCCAGAAGAACTCTAGCTTGAATGGCCTTTGTATGTATACAGTAGGCCTACACATAGGCGGCGCGTGAGGCTCAGGTTTGGGAAGGCTAAATAACTTTTTTTTCATCTTACGCTGCCCGCCTCCGGCGTCTATAGAAAAGAGATCAACTCAGTGAAAGCACCGCCTGCTGACCGATCAGAGCTCAGTGTGCGGAGTTTAAATCTCTCAAGTCATATTACAGGAAAAAGGAAATGCAGTTTAAACTGCCGTATGCAGAGAAGACGCCGACGTGTCGCACTTATCATTCATATCACACTGACATCACATCATCAATCAGATCATCGATCTCACATCGATATCACAATATTTCCTTATCTGAGTCAGCTTCTCGAGCCGTATCTGGCCGTGCAACACTTAGTTACATTGTCACATATACTGTATGCAGACGTATTATTTTAAGCAACACATTAAGTTGACGAAACACTCAACTCAAATGTAATAAAGTCAGATCCCCTCGTGTTTTAGATGGGGCAGTATCATAAAACTGTTGTACGCTTTCAAACACTCGGTAGTTTATATTTTAACGAGTTGTTCTGTATTCTCCTTGCAGGTGCAACTATGTGGCTTGTATCCTGGATTATATGTTTAAGTCATCATGGATGTTTAAAGTTCATATTTGTCTAATATTAGTTTACTTTTCATTAATGAAGTATGATGTTGCGCTGTCAGTACACTTGTCCCTGTTTGTGATTGGTCAAATGTAGCTAACCCCGCCCCTTTCACGTGAACGCGCTCTCAGCTGGAGAGAGAAACCCTGGCTTGATTTACCGAGTTGATAACCAGCGCCGTAGGACCGTTTAGC